AATGGTGCGTGAGACCGATGGATCTGGCTGGTGAGTTGTCTCAGGGGTTTCAGGTTGCCGGGATCAGGCGGGTCTCTACATCCTCCTTCGGTTAGCTACTCCGAAGGCCGAGCCATGTCCATAATAATATGCCGTGAGTCGTTCCGAGTCCGTTGGATGCAGAAGAGACCCTGATGATCAGGCGGGGGCTCCTTTTATAGCTTGGGTGTGACATGCGGTGATGTGATTGTGTGAGGCACCTTTCGATAGGCCCATGGCACTGACTGACTGACGCTGGATCCCGCCTTGTAGAAAGTTCTAGCTGCTGTCTACCTTTTACACTCATGGCAGAAAGGCAACTATAGTCTGACTAGCAACCGTTACATAACTTTGTATAACTTTTCTGATTGGCGAACATGGCCACTTAACAAACATAATGATCACAACACAGCCCAGTGGTGGGTGGCTGGGGCTAGCCTCTTGGAGCGTAGCCTGGCCCGGCCCAGCCCACCTGACACAGATTGGACCCTGCCCCGCCATCCTGGACTGAAGGCGAGAATCGTTACAAGGGCAGCTCCCAGACTGGCAGTGGACAGCGGCATGCAGTGGCGGGAGTCCCCCTCCCCAAGTCTCACGACCCTTACCCCAGCTGGGCAGCTTGTCCCACTCCCAATCCCTCCCTCGTTGTGGGGGCATTGATCTGCACCCCCACATCCCTTCCCTCCCCCCTCCACCCACCATAACAGACTTACCAGCTGGAGGCAGCTGTGTCCAGCATTGGCAAGCACTGCCTGTATATTCTATGGCTGAATCTCTGAATCCGAATCTGATCAGAACAGTGATTCAAATCACTGAATCGAATCACTGTCGCTCCAAATTGGCCAAATCTGAATCCGAAGCAAATACTCACTGTTTTGCGCAGGCCTATAAGGGACCCTGTCCCACTTATTGAAAGGTTCCCCTGAGAGTAGCCCCCGGTCATCCCCTGGCTCAAGAGTGTGTCTTCGTGGTGACTTTGTTGCACTCTAGCCAGAGGACGGTGTACATGAGTACACTTGGCAAACATCTATTCTGCTTTTAGTGCTACAATTTCAGTGTTGCATGAATATGGTCAGCTACCTGATGACAAGCACAGTTGACAGCAAAGAATGGAGAGGAAAGAAGGAGGCTAGGCTAGACTAGTGGAAGAACAGGTTAGAGATTACTTACAGAATCTGGATGTTTTTAGGTCACAGGGCCAGAAGGAATGCATCCTAGAGTAATCAAGGAATTGGCTGAGGTAATTTCAGAGCCATTGGCTATAAAATGAGCTACATAACTGGAAAATTATTTGAATCAAATTTAGTAAGGACAAGTGCCAAGTCCTGCACTTGGGACGTAATGATCTCATACACAAAAATCAGGCTGTGGAATAACTAGCTAAACTGTTATACTGCATAAAAAGACCTGGTGGTTAGAGTGGAGCATAAGCTGAATATGAGCCAACAGTGTACTCTTGTTACAACAAAGGCCAGTAGCACACTGGATTGTATTAACAGGACGATTACTTGCAGGTCAAAGGAAATGATTCTTCTGTTCTATTCAACAGCGGTGAGACCTCACCTGGATTACTGTGTCCAGTTTTGGGCCCCACACATCAAGGAAGATGTGGATAAATTAGAAGGAATCCAGGGGAGAGCAACAAAAAGACTTAGAGGCCTGGGAAACCTAACTTACAAGGGAAGGTTGCATCTAAGAGTGCAAAAATTGGCAGGAGAACAAGCAAGAGGGGAGCCTGACTCTGTAGCCCACTGATGAGGACATTCCATGGGGAACAGAGAAACCTGGATTGCATTACCTCCTGCCATAGCTGTTTATGTATGTTACATTAGACAGTCATAGGTTAAAAAAACAGAAGCCTGGCAGCAGGACCCATAAGTGTGTTTTCACCACTGGGCTGTAGTCAGGCTCCTTTCTTGTTCTAGCCCTATGATTCTTGCATTCCTGGCTGGCAAATGGCCAGGTTCAGCAAAATGGATGCAAACTTAGTGCAGAATGCAATGCGTAGGGTACTTTCCTGGGAAGTAGGAGATGCAGGTTTTAGACCCCTGTGGCTGAGCAAGGGCTAGAACTACTGCTTTCTGGAGAAGTGCTCTAACCACTATGCTAGTATGTGAAGGGTGGGTACTGCTAAGCTCTCAAACGAGAGCAAAACTTGCTATGGGTGCTGTGCTTTGCACTGGATTACTGTTGGTATGAGTTAGGTGCTTTTCTTGTTGTTCTGGATCTTAAGATAATGGACGCTGCATTATAGCCCTGAATTCGGTATCTAATCTAAGTTTCCAGAAGGAAGTAATTCAGGCACATTCTGTGCCTTGTATTTCTATTGGGTAGCTCTTATAGGGAGCTTAAGATCTTGTTAGAGATTGCACTTTCAGCTGCTCAAATGTTGATCCATGCAAGTGCTCAAGTTTGGAGCAGTCACATTTAAAACAGCAGGGTCCTTGAGGACTGAAAGGTAAGAATCCCCCCTCCCTCTTCTCCTATTCTGGGCTTCCCATCTGCCACCTGGGACTCCCCCTGTTTCCTCCAGTCCCTGCCTCCTCTGCCCCTCCCAGCCTTCATGACTCACCTGGTTCCCCTTCTCTGCCTACTCCCTGGGACTGTGCTGGGAGCCAAAAGTAAGCTAGGGGGAGGGTGGGAAGGAGGAGTTGAGTAGAGATCTGGCATGTGGGGGGGCAAGGGACAGTGGCCCTGATTCAGTGGGGAGGCAGGGGGGTAGAAATGGTCATGGCTGGGGGAGATTTGGGCAGGGGCAATGGGCCCAATCCAGGCCAGGGATGGAGGGGGAGTGGGTGTGGTGTTCCCACTAATGGGTACCCTACAGTGGCCACAATGTAGTGTAACATGAACTGGGTAACACCGATCAGAGAGAAACTGAGTGGTATAATTTTAAGACACTTAAATAGTGCTTAAAACCAGTTTCACATGTTAATGTGTGGACAGCAGTTAAGAGCTCCAGGAGCTGGTTAAAATTAACATGTAACAAGGCCTTAAGTTACATAGGATGTAAATTGGAGGGACTTACTGCTCAGGACTTGCATCAGTTGATCCAGTGTTAGTGTTGGGGTTTTTTTGCCACTCCTATCCATCAGTAAGTGAAAGTCAACCACAATTAATAGTGAATGAAATGGGGAAAATATTACAATTTAGTTTCACTTACTGCAGATTAGGAGCAGACAAAGCAAAACAGTTGGTCCACAGAAAGTTTCTGAAAATCCATTAATGAACCTACTTCTGTAACTACCTCTATCTTACCCTTAAGACTGAATCCCAAAATAGCTGTGGTCAGGAGGAGGATAACCTATTGAACAGGGTGGAATAGAATTGTATTAGGTGCCTAAGTCCAATTAGGGTATGGATAAATGTACACTTGGAGTTGTTTCAAAAGGGGAGCTACTAATCAGGTGTGTGCAGCAGCTTATGTTCTAACAGTTTTATGTACATACAATGATACAAATGTAGTAAAAGTTTGATCAAACTGTAACCCTGGATGAAGTAGTGTTGAAGTTGGAGCTGTTTTGCTGTCTTTGTATAATTCCTGGCTTTTCAGTTAGAATATAGCACCTGTTAGAAAGTAAAAATTGCTGTGCAGTTTGGAGGAAAAATCTCTCCTTCCATTTTGAAACAGCCCAAATGTTTGTTTCTCCATATCTTTACATGCCTAATATATTGAATAAAATCTGGTCTTCAGTCTTTAATGGAGTATAGAATCAGGATATAGTCACAGAGGGAATAGTTATTTTCTGTTTTTTTTCACAATAAGAATGTTTTGGGACAACTGTTGAACACCTAAAGTAAACTCTTTTATAAAACAAATATTGTACATATTAGTATTTTAATGTCTTGATATTGTATATGTAATCGGAAAATGTAATAGGAAAAGCTTTTTCCCCTGAAATTATGTCATTGATTTCATATACCCTTTGTTAGGTTGTACAACTTGATTAAACCATATAAAGTTAGGATGATTAAGTAAGCATTTCTTTCCCCCCTTCATGTTAATGCAGTCCTTCCTGAATGTCTAGGCCATAGTAATATGGCTTCATTCTTTGAATTCATTGCTTATGAACAAATAGTATACATCTAAGAGCTAGTGTGTATGTTTGCATGCATAGACACTTTATTAGATAGAATCAGATTAGATAGAATCTCCAGAGAAGCTTAAAGATGATATGCTCATGGTTAGAAGTATCCAAATAGGGGATGAAGAATCTGATAGCAGAGAGCTCTTTAACTGAGTAGAAAAAGGCATGATATTATCCAGTTGTTCATAGTTGAAACTAGACAAATTCAAATTGGAAAAAGTAAAGATGTGAAGAAGGAACATGAGACTAGAAAAGTCTGCAGTTATGGTCACAATAAGAGTAAATATGTAGGTGAAAAACAGGTAACAACTATTAAATTTAAACAGTGACATGAGCTCTGATTTAAATGGAAGTACATTGCATGAGAAGAAAAGTGAGTGTTGGAAGAAGGCAGTGAGGTAAGTGGAGTGTGTAGGAGGGAAAGCTGAGGGGTAGCTTCATGTATTTGAAAGAAGTAGTTTGTTAAATAGCATGTGTTACTATCATTCCTAATCACCTGCTCATTTTGTGCCATCTCTTGAACATTTCCCCTCTGAAAAGATTATATTCATCCACCACCTCTTTTCTACATTTCTCCCAACACCTGGATCCATTCACTTGACACACTGAATTTTTCACGGTTTCTTATTCCTGTTCTGCCACTTCTAGCTCTTCCCAACCCTCCTCTTTCTGCTCTCATTAGAACAATACTTTGCCCAACTTTCCTCTCCTATCTCCTTTCATTTTTTTGTCATCTGTTATCTGTTCTGCTACTTTCAACTGGGTTTCCTCTGTGATTTTGATTCCTCATTCTCTGCTTTCCTTTCCTCACAATCTCACCCTTGCTGGTGACTTCTGCATCCATGTTGATGATGTACCTGGCCTCTCTATTGAATATTTCCTCGCCCTCTTTGCTCTTTTTTCCAGTGACATGATTGTTGATTTTCTTCATAGTTCACTCTTCTGTCCATGATTCATAGACTTTCTGCCATTAGAGACTTTGCTTTGCTAATCCTCAGCCCTGGCTCATCTTAACATCTGCTTTGTCCATTCCTGTTCTCATGCTATGCAACATCTCTGAAGGAAATCCTATAATGAGGCTCACTTCCTGTACTAGAAATTCATTCTCTCTTCCTCTTGTTTTGCCATATTCATAGATAGGCACCTCTACTTTTCCAACTTAACTCAGTTCTGTGATTGAATTCTGAGCTATGTTTTCACTACTATGGATAGATTCTGTCCTTTTGCCTCTAGTCCTCATTCTCCAAAGAAACTTACTGATTTCTTCCCAGAGAAAATGACAAAATGACCTTCCCCTCTGTCTGTTTCTCTTTCCTTCTTTCTTGTATGCTTTTGTGTGTTCTCGAATTGTAACTTCTCCATTAATCACAGTGATGCTAACCCTTTCCATCTCCCTGGGTATGTCTATACATGCGCCCCACTGCGCAGCTGGTACTGCTCAGTCAAGTACTAAAAAGTACTAAATGACTTCGCAGTACCTACCAGTGAGTACTGCACAGTTCTGTCTGACATCTCAAAGATGTCTAGAAGTCAGTTCAACGTCAACATGGCAAAAACAAAGGTCTTCCCACAACCATGTTGCCTGGTAATGAGGCCTGTAACCTTGATGTCCACTTGAGTGCAGGGACCTGAAGAAGTTCTATTTGATATTGTACTCAATCTTGCTAGTTCTTTATGCATGACCCTTGCCACATGTTGCACTTGGACTTGATTAACCAGTTACGTAGTTACTCTGCCACCACCATTAATACAGTTAATAAATAGCATGATAAAACAAGAAATAAGCCACAAAGTTATTAAATAAAATATATGTAATAACTTTGTTGCTGGTTCCCATTACACCATAAATTGAACATGTGGCCAGGCTGGGGTACCCAGCTGTGGGGGTGCACCATGCACCCCCATGACTGGGAGCTGTCAGCTGATCCATAGTCCCAGCTGCAGGAGTGTATGGTGTGCCCCAGCAGCTGGGATTCTGGATCAGCTGACAGTTCCCAGCCTCAGGTCCTCATGGTGTTCCTCTGTGGCCAGGAGCCCCATCAGCTGACAGGACTCCCAGCCCCAGGAGCTTGCTAGTGGTACAGGAGGAGCCCAGGATCAGGATCAGATCCCCCTGCACTGGCAGAATGGTGTGATGGAATCTGATAGTTCCACAGTCATACCTCCTGCCATACACATGTAGCAAATCTCATTGTGCCTTTAATTGTGCATCTACCAGAAGCCTTAGAAAATGAAGATGAGCAGCTTATGTGTGACAGCCAGTGGAAGGCAGCAAAGCGAAGGGGTAAGTGGAGAGTGTGACAGGCTAGTTAAATAGCCTTTGTAACAGTATTACACATAAGTATGAGCAGAAGAAATTTATATTTGTCAAAAACACATACACTTGTTCCATGACAAGACAGCAAAGCAGAATGGGTTTGGGTGAAGATGAAAGGTGAAATATACAGCACCAATATAATGGTAGGGATTTATTAGAGGCCACCAAATCAGAAAGAGGAGGTAGATGAGGCACTCTTCAAGCAGGTGATATCTATCCAAAAACCATGGGATGGTACTGATGCGAGACTTCAATTTTCTAGACATCTGCTGGAAGAACAATTCAGCTAATCATAAAATGTCAAGCCAGTTTTTAACTTGTGCAGAGGACAACTTTCTGTTTCAGAAAGTGGAGGATACAACTTGGAGATCATTTATCTTAGATATTTTGTTGACAAACAGAGAAGAATTGGTAGAGGATGTGAAGGTGATCATTGACTTGGGATAAAGCAATCATGATATGATAGAATTCCAGATCCTGAGACAAAGAAAGGTTAAGGTCAGCAAAATTGGGACACTAGATTTCAAAAAGGTGGATTTCATCTAACTGAAGGAGTTAATAGGCATGGTGCCATGGGAGGGCAGACTGAAGGGTAAAGGCACCCAACAGAGCTGGGAGCTTCTAAAGGCCACAGTATTGGAAGCCCAATAAGAAACTGACCTGACATGATAGAAGCACAAAAAAAATGGCAAGAGAGATGAAGGTGGCTGCACAAGATGCTTCTAAAATGCCCCAAATACAAAAGCAAAGTGTTAGGGTAACGATATGGATTTTGGGTGTTGGGGTAACAATTTAGATCTGGGTAGTGTTGTGTGTGCAGCTGAATGAAGGCATTTTCCTTCATTGTCTCAGCAAAAACTGCTGGTCACAAGGCTGGATGATATATTAAAAGCAACTAACTTAGCTAATGTTTAAGTAAGCGGATTCTTAACAAAAGGATAGGGTGCAAAGTGCATGATGTGTTGAGTAAAAATAGAATGTAGCCTTTAACTACTGTCAGGAGACAAAAACAGAAATATGGCCTGGGAGATGGTGCTGAAGTCAGCAAGAAAACCAGCAAGAACCAGTAAGAAACTGTAAGTGACTGAAAGAAGATGGGGGTCAAAGTCTTATGCAAACGCTCTTAGCAGAGAGGCATGTAAATGAATGAAGGCAATACCATACTAAGGAAGCAAACAGTAAACAGAGGTGGAGCTTGAGATGGGAGGAAAAATGGGTGGAACCAAAGCAGGGACGACGGCGGAGTGAATGTTAATATGAATGAACCAAGGTGTACACATGTTGGAAAGAACTGTTGTTCAGGGCTGCTTCCCATGTTCATAAACTGGGTGTTTGTGAGAGAGCTCACCCGAAGCTGTCTTCATTCTGAATAAAGCTGTTGCGAGCAATGTGTGCTGGTGTTTGCTCCCTGTCTGCTCTGGCTAATGAGTACCAGGATCCATGAGTAATTGGACCATTGTCTCCCTAGTTGTTGGGTGTTGCATGGAGTCAGGGTCTAACAGAAAGCATACAGCTAATGGGATAATGGGAAGGTCACCAAGGAAGTGTACCAGGAAATAGCAAGAACCTGCAGGGACAAAACCAGGAAGGCGAAGATAAAGAACAAGCTGCACCTGGCAAAGGAGGTTAAGGATAACACAAAGAGGTTCTATCAGTATACTGGCCAGAAAAGAAGTATCAAGCAAGCTGTGGGTCCTCTGTTAACAAGCCAGGAGGAACTCCCAAATGAAGATGCAAAGAAGGTGGATCTTTTCAACAGCCACTTTGCCTCAGTCTTCACAAAAAAGCTAAACTGCAGCCAGACACCTAATAAGGATTATTTGAATAAGAAAGGGGGCAAGCTGAGGGAGACGGCAATGAAGGAGATGGTCAGAGAGCTTTTGTTGGGTCTGAATGAATTCAAGTCAGCAGGGCTCAGTTAACTTAATCCCAGAGTACTGAAGAAACTGGCAGAGAAGATCTTGGAGACCTTGGCAATGATGGGCATGAAGTTGTGGGAGATGGCAGAGGTACCAGAGGACTGGAAAAGAGCCAATATAGTGCCCCTTTAAAAAAGGCAACAAAGAGGACCTGGAGAACAACAGATCAGTTAGCATTACCTCAATACCCAGGAAGTTACTGGAGCATAAATAATAACCTAAGGAAGGCCATTTGCAAGCATCGGGAGGAGGAAAGGCTGATCGCAAGCAGCCAGCATGGATTTATAAAAAAAAAATCCTTTCAAACAAACTTGATCTCCTTCTTTGACAAAGTAATAACTTGGGTGGATGAAAGGAATGCTGTGGGTATAGTGTATCTAGACTTCAGCAAGGCTTTTGACAAGATCCTGCACAATTTCTTAATAAATTCCTATATAATCTCCTCAAACAAATTGGAGAAATGTGGGCTAGATAAAACCACTACAAGGTGGATAGATAACTGGCTCAATAGCTACAAGCAAAGGGTAATTATTAACAGGTCTACATTAGAATGGCAGGAGGTTTTGAGTGGAGCCTGGTGCTCTTCAATACGTTTGTTAATGATTTTGATGCTGGCATAGAAAGCTGCTTGAGCAAGTTTGGAGATAATATGAAACTGGGAAGGATTGCAAAACACATTGGAGGATGCTAGCACAGTTTAGAAGGAAAGTTGGGCTAGAGCTAACAGGATAAATTTCAATGTGGACATGTTACTTAAAATTACCAATAGCTCAAATTAAGAGTGAGACCTTAAAAGGGGGATAAGGCAAAATGCTGTGTCTGTTGGTTACATGGAGCAGATACATAAGCTTGGACACACTAGTCATACAAACATACATACACAAGCATACATAGACACGCATACAGACAAAACCACTCCAGTAAGATGTTATAGTTACCAGCAGATGTTACTCAATATTAGCACTGGATGGCCAGGTCCAGGCTTATTTAGGGTGATAGGAATCGGGGAAGAACAGACATGCATGCCTGTGCTACATAAGGTGGCAGAGAGTGAATTCCCCATGTTGGCTTGTCTGCATGTCACTTTTATAGGGATTTCAAGTCTTTGTTCAGCATTGGAGGGGTTTCCATACTCAGACTTTAATTAGAGGCTGTTTCTTTTGGTTATCTCAACCTGAGGCCATTCCAGTACAGTTGGTATCTTCAATGAGGTCATTCCAGTAAAGTTGGTTATCTCAGAGTTGGTATTTCAGTCTTGATCTTTGCCTTGAAGCATTGCGTCTTTGAGGCATTGTAGTTGGTATCTTTCCCTTGAAGTATTGTGTAGTTCAAATGACAGGATATGCAAAATTCCTTCTTCTTTGCACCTGATCACAGATTAATTCTTCAGCCATCCATTAATTAGCTTAATTGGTTTACTGTTTGGTAACTCATACATTGGCGTCTTGTTGCTTACACAGTCAATTAAATCTTCTTCTGTTTTCATGAAAAGAGTTACCATTCTTTCACCATTCACCCTCTCACAGACACTCATGTACACGGGCCATACAAAGTTCATCTACTCATGTCAAGCAGGGAAGAAGCACAGTCTTAGTTGTGCAGACAATCATAGAGGTTTATTAATTCAACACTATTATTTAAACATAATAAATAAAGCAAAAATTCATACTACAGACAAATGCAAAGTGATACACCTTAGGAGGAATAATCAAAAATACAAATATAAAATGGGTGACACCTGGCTGGAAGGCAGCACTATGGAAAAGGACTTGGGAGTCTCAATAGATCACAGACTCAGTATGAGTCTGCATTGTGATACAGCCACACAAAAGGTGAATGCAGTTTTGGGCTGCATCAGTAGAAACATTAGGTGCAAGATAAAAGTGGCTATAGTAGCTCCGTACTTGGCATTTGTCAGGCCACATCTGAAGTACTGTGTGCAGTACTGGGCTCCACATTTTAAAAAGAAGTTAGGGAGGGTCCAGAGGCAGGGAAAAAGATAAGGGGCTTGGAAAGCAAGGCATGTGAAAAGAGGTTGAAAGAGTTAGGCATGTTCAACTTTTGGAAAACCTGCCTAAGAAGGGACAAGAAAGCAGTCTTCAAATACTTGAAGGGCTGCCATAAAGAAGAGGGAAAGCACCTTTTCTCTCTTGCTGAAGATAGGAGAATGTGGACCAATGGGTTGAAGTTGCAGCAAAGTAAGTTTAGGTTGGATATCTGGAAAACTACTTCACTGCTAGAATCATGAGATAGTGTAATAGACAGCCTAGGAAAGCTGTGGATTCTCCATCACTGGAGGTGTTCAAGAAGAGGTTGGACAGCCACTAGTTGGGGATGATTTAGGCATAGCTATGTCTATGTTCTACTATGGGTATTTCTCATGCTTCAAGACTTTGCTGGTTTCTGCTCCCCCCGCCCATTTTTCTATTTGTCAGGATGTTTTTAAACCTTCTTCAGAGGCCATTGGGTGTTGATTACAGCCAGAGCTGGGGATTTTGACTGGGATGTGTCAATGCTCCTGCTGGGACCAAAGCTGGAAGTTCCTGGCTACTTGCCCCTCTACTCAGGGTCATACCGACTGCCATATTTGGGGTCAGGAAGGAATCTTACCCCATGGTCATCTTGGTATGGACTGTGGGGGTTTTTGCCTTCCTTGGTAGCAGGAGGCGTGGCCCTCTACCTGGAATCTCTTGAGGATATATTGACAACATTTCATAGAAGCAG